CCTGAGCTTACCTACGAGGATGTTATGGGGGACAGCATCAAAAGCCTTGGTGAAGTCAAGGTAGACAACATCCGCTGCTCTCCCCTCATCTACCCAGCCAGTCATACCATCATAGAAGGCTATCAGGTTGGTCAAGCTTGACTTCCCTTTGGTGAAGCCATGTTGACTACTCTTGATAACCTTCCTTTCCTCCACATGCTTAGAGACAAAACAATTTATTTTTAGTCATGAAGTTCTCTGTCTTCATGGATAGCTACAAGTGTTGTCCAGACTTCTTTTGACTCTGTAGAGTGAAAAACAATCTTGATAAATCTCTCAAATATAAAAATAGAAAATCTTGCAGTTTATGGCAGTAGTAACTTAGCAATAAATATCTTTCCTTCCAGCTACCCTGCCCCACTTCAATATATCCCTCACTTCCCTGTGCTTTTATTGTAGTGGGGAGCCCTGGCTTTGGAACTGGACTTTGCTGCCCTATGCTTCTTTGCAATTACAGATAAACTATGTGATTTCACCCCAAAGAAAAGTCAGCTTTTCCCCACCTCTTCCTTCTCTCTTTTTTTGCGTGTGACCATAGACCAGTCATAGTACACCTACAAAGATGGACAATAGAGTTACGAAGGTAACAAACTTTCTATGCAGTGGTGTTGACAAGAACATACCAGTGGCTTGTCTAAATTGTTTTTGCATCAGCAATATGTATCTGGGAAATCCCACATAGATTTATCCAGTTTGGAAAAAGAATATTCTGTGCTTCCTTTCAATGTATCCTTCACTTCCCTGCTATCAAAACAAAAGAGATGCCAGTTCTTCATATGTGTGATATTGTGAACTTGCTTTCCTGGGGTCTCACTTCTCTCTCTGGCATTATTTTTTTTAATCTCACACTTTTGACTGCAGTTTTCTAAACATCAAGACATGTCCTGTCAGTGTCCACTTCAGCAAATCAACAATATCCATCAACTTGGCCACTGGTTCTGTAGTTGCCCCAAACTCGAATTTTCTACATAGCCTCGGTATTCACAAAGGCATGGGAGCGAGCTCTCCTTATCCTGGGGGAGAATCCCTTGTTAGTGTGTTCCTGAGTTAAGGCAGAGGAACAAGAAGCTAAGATCCCAAACTGCCTTTCAACACTTATCTATCAACCCTTTGCTTTGCAAAACTGAGAGCAAAGAGTTGCGATATTTGCATATTGTTCACCACAACCTTGCTTTATGTATTATGGAGCAAGTGAAGGATATCTTCCCAGAAATGCTTAATGATTCTTCAGGAAACGTTTCATTTTATTTTTTCTTCTAAATAAAGAATGTTTGTGTCTCAAGAGCAGTGTTAGTTGCCTGCATTTCGATGTCAGTAACCATTCTACATTAATTTGCAAGGATTTTTACTTTGAAGACTGTCGTAAGAGTGTGAGGGCAGGGACTGATGGACAAGGAAGCTTTTCATTAAAAGTAAAGGTCTATCTTTAACCAGCTGTATCCTGAGAGGTGGTTTGGTGCCCTTCCTTCAGCCTTAATGGCAGTTCTGATAGGCAAGGATTTGGGGGACATTGCCCTAATTTATTTCATAAGAGATTTGTGATCTGGTTAAAAGATTTAGTCTGAGAAGGCCTTTTTCAGCTGCTGGTAGAAAAGAGATAGGGAAATACTTCATTCTCTCAAAATCACCAAGATTGATGTGATGTTAAGTATCACCGCTGAAAAGATAAAGGTGACCAAATGAATTCTATTTTTGTATACATTTTTCAGTCCCTTTAAGACTGAAGTTTCATATAAAATTATAGTGCAAAGATTAATGCATTTGGATACTTCAGACTACATATGTACTTTTATAAACATACACTTTGAAATTATTTTTTCCATCACAATCTATTTTTTCAGCCTGGCCTCTTTTTTTTTTTTTTTTTCCCTTCTGTTTTTTTCTTTCCCTCTCCCCTTCTCCTGTTTTTTTGCCTGGCTTGTATTTAGTTAGCAAAGCTGAGGTTGCTTCTTGTTCTTTGTTCTGGATGATTTTGGTTTTGTTTTTTAGTCCACAGGCCTAACATGAATACAAGTTCTGCAGCTTGGTCTCTTCATACTCAAGCTTACTAGAAAAAAATAAAAGACTCACTATTAGTATGTTTTTGTTTTACTGAGTGACACTCTAAAAAGCTTGTTTGGATAGTGATCTTAAATCTAATCGTATTGATGTGATTTATGTGGAGGAGGGGAAAATAAGGTGGCTAAAAAAGGATAAGCTTAAAATTGTCCCTCTTCCAGTAACAACTTCTGTTTAAAGTCTTGTTAAAATTGTATCCTTCTGTTAAGATTTCTATCCATCCAAAAAAAAGTTCTCAATTTTTATGAATTGCAAAGTTTAGTTGTCAGAATTGAATTGCTCATATTTTTAAATATGAGCCTATGTGATTGTGCATGAATGTGTTTCACTATTCTGCAAGCCTGTGTTCATAATCTTTTTCTGTTGTTGTTAAATTCTCTTTCGGGTAGACTGCATGACGAAAAATTTGCTGTATCTTTCTAAAACAACTTTGTTGTATCTTTAATGCAAAGAATTTGTACTGTGTATATTTAATATACATGTATTTAATACAGTGTTTCAGGTGGTAATAGATGCTAGCCAGTCTTTGTCAGACAGATTTATGTAGGCACTTCTCTTCAAGTGCTTTTAAAATTATGATAACTCATGTAAATCAGTAAAGTTCCTTAGAGTTTGAAAAAGAAAAAAAAAGGTATTGTTGCCTTGAGAGCTTTAAAATAGTATTTTAACATTTAGGACCTGAAGCAAAGTTATGGAAGATGCTTACATGAATTGTCAAGTCTCTGGTGTAATTTTTAAACAGCGCTCATCTAAATTACTCCTTATGCAATACCATGCTATACAATGAGATTTGCCCGATTTTTTTTATGTTCAAGTGATTTCCTAGTTACAAGGTGGTTGGTTTTGTTTGTTTGTTTGTTTGTTTTTTTCTCCAGGAAAAAGATTCTTCTCAGAACAGCCCACAAGAGATACAGAGAGAAGACCTGGAAGAAACAAATACAAATGTAGTGTCCCAGAAAGCATCTGTATCACTTGAACCTTGTACACCAAAGAAAAATCCTGTAATTGCAGAAAAATTGGATGAAAAAGCAGGAGTCGTTTGCTCAACTGCATTGAGTAAACCTTTACAAATTCAAAAACTGCAACTTCAAAACAGAGAAGACTTTCAGGCAGACAGTGTCGCTCTTGATAATTCGGCTAAGCAGCACATACATCAGCCTAATCCTGCTTTAATGGCAACAGCAGTCCAGAGCATGGAAGCTGCCAGCGTTCATACTTCTGTAGAGGATCCAGTAGGTTGTACGGCTACAGTCTTGCAATTTACAGACCCCGACTACTTGAATTCATCTCTGAAACTGAAAAATGCTTTACGTTCAATTACTGACTATGCAATTGAAAATCCTAACTCTCCTGTTGTAGGCTGCTCTGTTGAAGTACAGCCAACAAATGAAAATGCAGTTTTACTGAGTACAGTCACACAAACGATTGAACAGTTCAGTGGAAGTGAAGAGTCTGTCATTGCTATTATTGTGCCAGCCGAGAGTGCGGAAGAGCCTGAAATAGTAAACAGTTCTTTCCTGCCTATTAAGCAAGAGTATCTTGACACAGAGGAGACAGAAACAGATAAATCTGTGTATATGAATGCATACGGTGGAAGTGAAGTATTACAAACTGAGCATTCATACTGCAAACAAGACATAGACAGAGATCACCTTTGGCAAAAAATTTCAAAGCTCCACTCTAAGATAACTCTACTTGAAATGCAGGAGATAAAAACACTGGGGAGACTCAGGTCCTTGGAAGCTCTTATTGGACAATTGAAGCAAGAAAACTTGCTTTCTGAAGAAAAGCTGAAGGTTGTAGAAAACTGCTTTACAACACTTGAAGTGACTATGATACAGTAAAGACTTTCGATGATTGTTCTAAAATATCTTTTTAGCCTCTTTGACTGTCCTTTTGGACAAATTAATTTTTAGTGCAGTCATGGTATTTTAAACATCTAATGCAAATTGTGTGAATAGCAAATATTCTTTAAACTGTTACATCAACCACTACCAAAGCTAGGTGGTAGAATATTGCTTATAAAACATGACTTGCAAGTAAGCTTTAAAAAAAAATTAAACCTGTTAAAGTCTTGTTAAAACATAAATTGAATCAATAAAGATAAATTAGATCTTTCTAGCTGCAGGCTCCTCTGAAACATACCACTCCTGCATTTGGGGCAGCATTAGAATGGACAGAATAAGCATGTAGGATGGACAATTATAAAACTGTTGCTTAAAAAAGAAAAAAGTCCTGATTCTTTTTCAAATGAGTAAAGAGGTATGTAATACACATTGTCCAGTGAGGTCACAGTTACTCTTTAATCTTCTGTTCGTCTAACATTTGTTCTGATAGTTTTTTATACGCTTATTAAAATTATTTCTGCAATAAAAGGTGTTTTGTTTAGCTCTAGAAACAGAGATTCTTTAAGAATATTGTTACAATGAGCAGGTCCATCTCTTTTTTTGGATGATTCAGCTCAGATAGAAAGAACAATCTTGAATAGTGATATTTTTGCTGATGAGTAAGAGGGAAAACTCATAACTATTCAGTGAGTGCTATCTGCTCAGCGTTGATCCTCTTACAGTCTATAGCTGGATAATGCATATACCCTTAATAATACACTGAAGCAAACAATGCTTTGCAGAGCAAATTGCTAGTGAAAGCAGCAGAATCTGGCTCATTATTTTTCTGTATCTTACTCTTCAAGAAATGGAAAGACTAGAAACCTGCTCCCTTGTATTGATTTTATTAACTGTTTCTAGTGCACAGGATACCAGTAGAAAGAGGCTGACAATTCATTTTGAGGGAAATGAATTTGCTTAAATACTTTCTACTTACTCTGTCAGTGTGCTACCCCTGGGATCTGTACAATCCAGTACAGTGAACTAGTACTAGGTCATCTCGTCCAACTGTACATCGCAGTGGGACTAGACGAGCATTGTAGGTCCCTTCCAACTGAGCTAGTCTAGTGTAGTCTATAATGATTACATTAGTTGAGGGACTTGAATGTATTTTCATCCATCGGTCAGTGGGTGGTGAGCAATTGTGCATCACTTGTCTTTCTTGGGTTTTATTTCTTTTTGTTATCTCCCTTTTCATTATTATTATTATAATATTTTAGATCAATTATTAAACTGTTCTTATCTCAACACATGGATTTTACCTTTTTTCTGATTCTCGACCCCATCCCACCGGGGCAGGGGAGGAGCGAGTGAGCAGCTATGTGGTACTTAGTTGCTGGCTGGGGTTAAACCACGACAGACATGTTGTTCTAAACTGCTCTGGTAATCTTTTCATAAGGAATTGAGGATCAAGCAACACCAATTACAAAGCTGGCCTCCAATGAGATAACAAGTTACAAAGGAGTCAAATTTCAGAAAATTTTTGAAACTCAGGAGTAGCTGCCTAGAAGTTGGTCTGCTAAAGCACAGTGCTGTAAGAGTTTAGTCTATATCAGTAACCACTGTAATAGGCTTGTTTTGTCCTTGAACTTGTTAACTTCTTTCAAGCTCTAAGCACAGAATATGCTTGGGAAAATTCCTAAAGAAGATAAGGGTCAGTTATAATGTGATAAATTATTTACCAGAATTCTGTGACCCACTCATTTTTTCCCTCTTAGTAAAGAATGCTGTGCCTGTAACAAAAGAACATTCCTGTTCTGCCTTGGGTGCTCTGAAATCACAAGGGGCATCCTTTATCCTGTAGAAACATTGCTGCTATACTGCGTCCAATCTTGTGAACATTATCCAGGTGGCCTCTCTGAACTGCACATTTTGTAATTTTTTATAAAGTAAGAGATCTGTCAAAGTGTTTTACAAAATGCTATATGAAATTGCTAAACAATTTGGCAATTTTAGAAATTTCGTGAATGTCACTACAAATCGTCTGCTAACACTGTGTATTTTAAGACTGACCACCCAGTTCAAAAGTTGACTGTAGGGCCTGAATGACGCTGAGAGCTCAGACATGGCAGAAGAGTTAAGTTCACTTTAAGTTGTTGTCTCAGCAAAGCTCTGTACCCAAAGAAAATAGTTGGTGGGTTTTTTTGACATGGTATTTACATTTCTGATATGTTTTTGCCTTTACTAATAATTTCCAGTATTAAAATTGAAAATGTTATTTGTGGCATAGTTTTCTTTAAACCTGGGAAAAAACAAATGCTCTAATTTTGCTTTTTTATGGAGTTTTGTGGGGCTATAGCAGAAAAATTCAGTAACTCTGCAAGCCTGTCACCAAGTCTATGGATTTCCCTCCTGTAGGGTCATTTGGGTCAATGGGCCTAGGGTGAATGTAGCAGACCCTCTGCCTTTCTTCCTTATGCACGTTTTTTGTGCCAGATAGGTCATTATTAAGGCCTACTATTAACTCTTCTCACCTAACTGCTGCCTAAAGTAACACCTACTCTCCTACCAAGCAGGATATTATAACTGTTAAGCAAAAGTGTCTAACAAAAGGTGATAAATAATATGACAGTTCCTTAATCTGATGTTTTCAAGTAGAGATTTACACCTTCAGGTTTAAACTTACCGGTTTTCCTTAATTCTAAATTTGACATGTGATTGCTGTCAGTGTATCAGGTCATAGTGTGTCCATCCCATCTGGGTTCATGGTTTCCCCAGCGGACAGCATCACCAACTTCAAAAAAAACCCGAGATTGCCTGAAAACGGGATGATTTTGTATGTAGCGTTTCTCAGGACCAGTCTTGTAGGGATGGAAAGGTTGAAACTCCACAAAGCAGTTTGAAGATAGACCAGAATCCATGCTGTGTTTTGTAGGTGACTGTTGCAAATTGATTCCAATAAATTATTTTGGGCAGAGAACTTTTGTATTCATTTTAAAATATTCAGTACAATAGCTGGCTATTGTCACTTACAGGAAAATACAGCTACGTCCTTTGCTTCAACGGTATGCTGACACTGAATTACTCAGGCTAATTATTACAAGGAAGGAAAAATACCATGTTGGAAATTGCCACACACCACTGAATTAGATGTACATGTACATTTTGGGTTTTGTGTTTCCTAATCATAAAGCTGTACAGCCTTTGCACACAATTTTATTTCAGTAAACCTCATGGACTCTCGAAGGTGCTATATTATTCCTTGAGGTCCAATGGAAACTGCTTTTGTGCAGTTGCAGCCCAGCATCAAAGTAGTACACTGGATCATCATTCCTTCTGTAGTGTGTCAGACTTATCTTGATCAAAGTTAAAGATTCTTACTTATCTTTTCAATAATTTTGCCTTTGTATTGACATTTTTTTTAACTTTTGGCTGCCATTTTCCACTGATGTAAATAATTACTTCAACACTTTAGAGATTTAACATGTCAGCTGTTTTCTTAATTCACCTCTTGAACTGCTAAGCTGTATTTCTTTTCCACTATCCACTGGCCCCTGTAGGAATTTGGCATTTGGCTTTGTCCTAAGTATTTATTTAAATTCCACCAGTTTTATTAAACTTATTTATGAGCAGCGTAGTTCCATCTGGAATAAACTGGTGCCCATTTCCCCTGATCTTCCATCTTCTTTACAAGGTAGAGTGTGAAGTTTTATTTAACTCGTTCTGAATGCAGGAGCAGCTACACGGGATCTTTTCTTTCTCTCAGACTACTGAACCATCCAGGACTCCTCCTCTGTACTTTCTTGCATCAGTGATGCAAACATTAACTGCACTCTTGCATGCTTCACAAGCATTCCGTAGAAGTCTGTCCAGATCTCTCATTAGGTGTCTTTGATATCTTTTTACTCTCTTTTACTGCAGTGAAGTTGTAATTATTCATCCTTTCCACTTAGGCCATCTCCTACTCTGAGACTTGGCTCCTACATTACAAAAACCAGCAGCAGAGGTGGGCTCACTCAAAATGCCATCTTTGTTAATAATTCATTTTCCCTGTCCTGTTTTGCCCAAGCTAGTGTACAATGACGGGTGGTCTAGATGGGTGCCGTGGGGTCCAGCTGTGCCCACGTCAGCCATGGGGCAGTCACCCGCTCTGGCCTCAGTGCTGCTGGGCCTTAATGACACGGTTCATAAAGTCATGTCGATGCTGACCTCTCATCAGTAGATTTGAAGCTACATGTCACATTTAAAAAACTACAGTTCTCTCCATCTCCTAACTTCTGTAGTAGATTGATTTCCTTCGTACCTAACTACACCTTGGTCCCAACTGCCTTGTGTACCACTCAGGGCCTCCTCTCACTGGATAATGCTGCTTAACTGCACATTAACGGCATACATGCAAATCCTGCGCTCCTGCAGTTCAGTAGGCACAGCCTAGCCCAGCCCTTCCATGTTGCAGAGAGATGGTGTTAACACCCAGGGACCCCATCACATTGCCTGCACGCTGTGGATTCCTACGGCCGTAATTAGTTAATTGTACCAATGACAGGGGTAGGCTCTGCTTGGCACGATGTACTATTTCTAAACCTGCTGAGGTAAGTGCTGAAATTCCTTTACTCTTAGAGACTTTAACTTTCATAATGACAGTAGGGCAATGAAACCCAGAGCCTGCGTTTGTGAGATATTCTGTCCTCCCGGTGAGAGCCACCAGGAAAGACCTGCCTGCTTTCTGGGCAAACCCAGGAGACACTGTGAGCAGCAAGCAGACAGTTTTTTAACCACCTAGACAGAACGAGACAAAGCCCACGTCCAGCCTCAAAGAAAGGTGTAAGACACAGGTTACCAGTGAGTGATGTAGGCCTTTTCCTTCTCCATAAACTCCACAGGCAAGAAGCTTCGTGCCATGTTGTGAGGTTGGAGGGAAGATGGCACCTAGACACTGGGGCCTTGTCAGAGATGCTCAGGGGACAGGCGGGAAGGTGTGGGTTTTGGCTTTTAGAGTTGCTGTCTGGCAAAAGTGCCTTTCTGTGAGGCATCTCTGCACTGCCCATACGGCATCAGTTGCAGATGTTGCTCGTTCTTTGGGATCCCACACGCTAGGCACAGCCCAAAGCTACAGGGAAAGCCCAGTAATGCACTGGAAAGGCATGAATTACCAGCACCGAGGGAAGAGAAAGAGAGAAAAAGAAAAGGACAAATTATGTGCTCATTAATGACTTAAAA